CCAAAAAGGTATCCGTTCATGTTAGGAGTTTGTCAGATTTCAATAATTGTGAGAAAAACCCACGGCCTCTGTGGGAGTCGAACCCACGAGGCTCATGGTGCGCTGTGAATTCAATCACGCTGGGGTTGATTTGTTTGTCCGGCTTTACTGCGTGTGGGGAATTCACCAATACGGGTGCAGTAAACTGACTGCCAGACAGGCTTTTCTAATTAGTCCTCTAGGATACACCGGATGGACTACTAGACTAACCTTGGATGTTAGGTGTTTGGCAGATTTCAATAATTCGATTTACCCACTTGTGAAAAATTCGTGGCCTCGGAGGGAGTCGAACCCACACAGCTGCATGCAGAAGCCTTCCCTGTTGTGTGGTTCGACTTCCACCGAGGCTGCGAATTTTTCACAAGTGGGTAAACTGAAGTATCCTTTCATTAGGGTGGTTTTAATTTTATTTTACTAATTTTACCTATGCAATGCTGTACCTAGGAGTTCTGACAGGGGAAAAAATCCTTCAGAGACCTGAACGTAAACAGCTAGAGTGCGAGGGCTGCATCTACGGCGTCGCTAACTGTGGTCAGGGGAAAAATTGCACTTTTTTATTTTACTGTGGTCCAGCTTTGCCGCCAAATTTAACTCAAGATAACTTGCAGTTGTGCGTGATTATCTACACATCATAGATGTGCATTCGAACAAAGGAGATTAATATGCTTTTGAAACCGACATTCGTAGTCTGGAAGATGTTCAAAATGCAGCAGCTTGAATCAGTACATCCAGATGGAGTAATAGTTGACAATCCATAAAGATGAGAACATTTTAGAGACTATTTCTGGTAAATTCGCCCTACTCCAGGCATGAGACTGGCATAAGACCGGAGAGCTAGACTGCAGAAGCCCCCTTATAAGGCTCAAATAAGAGTTGCCAGTATGATTCAACTAGTTACTGTGTCTTGAATGTTCATGATGTCCTCAGCCTTCATCACTCATAAAGAGACCCGTGTTAGGTTTCAGCCTTAAACAGTAGGATGAGAAGCACATCGGAGTCCTGACCTAGATTTAATCTGTCTCTCTACCATAGCTCAGTTGGAATAACGCCTAAAAGTTTGACTTCATTAGATTGTTTTACTTACTAGCCTAAGGGGGAGTGGAACACT